AGGGACTAGTCTAGGCAGTTGTCAGAAGTCAACATTGACTCAAGGGGACCCCCCAAAAAACCTTCCCCAACCTTAATTTATGTAGTAAATCTCAGTGTTTCTTTTCCTGATTTCAGCCAATATAGACTTCTGAGTTTGCTTGTCTGTCTATTCAATTTATATAATCACCCATCTCAAATACATGATTCTGGGCAACTACAATGATTAAAAATGAGGGGAAAAAAGAATATAATATAAAAACATATAAACTTTAATTTTCTTACTGCCATGCTGCATTTACCTGGAATCACTTTTTCCTCCTAAACATCAAGCATTTTTCCCAGCACACTTTCACCCTCTTTCACACCACACACCCTTACTTTATGCCCTTAATGTGCCTACTAATGCTATTTAAAATGTTCTGTGCTAGCAGTGGCCTTCCTTGGAGCTATTGGAGTTACCACTGTTGGGAGCTAAAGTAGGTAGATTATGATAATTCTACTATAGTGAACATAAGGATGATCATCTTTGGAAGCATATTACTGATGTTTGGAAGTGCTGTTATAATTTGATCTGCAAATGTCCACCCATTCTTCTGGCATGGAACCAACAATATTGGAATCCATTTATGTGAAGTGGCAGGAGTAGTGTTAACTATTTTTTTAAAAAAATTGAAAAGCTTCTAAGGAAGTTATAATGCTTAAATTAGAGTCGGTAATCCCATGTGACCCTTCATTGTGTTTTAATGAATTTCTCCACAAGTACCCATAATTGTCTGCCTCCTTCTAATTTATTATTGAGCTGCTGCCCACTGCCAACATTTTGAAAGGCCCTGTTTCTGTAACACGCAGCAGCCACAGCCTCTCAGAGTGTCCAGCATTGGCTTTTGTATTGAATAGGCATATGGTCATTGGACACTGCCAGGAACAGAAGCTTTCAGAAAATCAGTAGCAGTTCCAATATTCATAAATTGGGAGGGACTGGCATATGGGAAAGTTGGTCTGTCTGTCATCACATTTCTACCCTGCTGCAATCCAGAGACTCTCAGTGGCTTACATAAAGTAGAAAACCAAATAAAAAATTAATAAAATTATAAACAATAAAACAACCTCACCCCAAAACTACAGACAATAAGAATAGAAAGTGCAGATGCTCTAACAAAATCAGGAGAAGGATCAACTCAGTCAGCTCAGTTTTTAAATTTAGTTTTTAAAATCTACATAACAGTCTTAGCTGCATCAAGATCTGTGTGAGGAGGGAAAAGCTTTGCGTGTGTTCCCCTGATTTGTGCTACTTCAGTTATTCATACCCTTCCTGACTGTTTATGGATATTAAAAATGTAAAAAGTGAACAAGCATATAAGGATCCACAATATACTATCCAATATCATTTGTGGTTCTTTCAACCCTAGAGGTTACCAGTTCCTGGTTTAAAGTATTCAGTTCAGTGAAATATAAGAACATGAGCATAAAAGGAGCACATCAAATAGAATCAAGTTCAACAAAAGCATCTGTGATTACATTCAAAAAGGTCCTCATTTAGCAATGAAAAGCTAGATGAGACTCCTTTTAGATGGCATTCTATAGCTTAGGCATCGTAGCCAAAAAAGTTCTTCCCTTTATCATCACCAGCCAGGGATCCTCAGGACAGTGCCTCAGTTGATGGTTTTAACCACAAGGCAATCTTATATGAAGAGAGACATCACAAACTATATAGAAAATTGTTCATGTGAAACAGCTTCTCAGAGTTTTGAAATGTCATAACATCAAATTTTCACGAGCATTGGAATTTCCTTGGTTGTGAGAGTTTATTCAAGCAAACAACCTGAAACCAAGCCAGTTGCATTACTCTGACAAGGGACAGGTAGACATTGTGGGGGACTTGTTAGTTTATAATAGCCAAAAACTATTTTGTGTGGTAACACGTTTTCAGACTAACACGTTTTATTAAAAGTCCTAAGCTGTTGTGAGCTATAGCTTACTTCATCAGATGCCTTCTAAGATGCCATATGAAGTGAGGTGTACTTGTATGTGGGCAGAAGACTTGTTAGTTTATAATAGCCAAAAACTATTTTGTGTGGTAACACGTTTTCAGACTAACACGTTTTATTAAAAGTCCTAAGCTGTTGTGAGCTATAGCTTACTTCATCAGATGCCTTCTAAGATGCCATATGAAGTGAGGTGTACTTGTATGTGGGCAGAAGAAATAGTTGCAAAGATTAAAATTTGAATTCACTATAAATATAGCTTGCATGTTATCCCAGACAGCTCTTTTTTAACAGCTTCTACAGTTCTTGAAATAAATTTACTTATCAGAAATTTGGGTCACTTAATTCCTTTTAGTATGATTTTTAGTTCTAGTATCTGCCAAAAGAAGCTTGACCCTAATTTTGTAAGATGATACGTGAATCCCAAAGGAGCAGAAACAAAGTAAAATTTGCTGCTTGCTTATCTGTATGTTACTTTGATTAGAAACCATAGTGTCTTGAGGCAGAGAGTCCTATAAATCTTGCTCAGCAGTATTACATAAGACTATGAAGCCTGAATAATGATACAGATGATCAATTCTCTCTCAACTAGAACAAAGGGAGTCATGTTAAAGGGGATTAATATATCCTGAATTATAAGTATAAGTGATTTTGTACTTGTCACTAAGGCATTAAACCACTTTTATTAACATGCTTTATCCTCCCAGATACATCAGGCTTTATCTATATAGTACACTACTGGTACTTCCAGTAGTGAAGTATCTGAAATTAACTATACTCATGTTATGACAGAATATTCATGAAAATATCAATTTTAGGAATGAAACTATTTTGTTCATACCCACTTCTCTGCCTGAAAGTTGTCCAAACTCATTTCCTCAAACTGTTGAGGAATTCACCTGGCTATACCTGCACTTAGTATTCAAACTGGAGTTTAGTTATATGTTGGATTTCAGTTGCTGTGCAAAAAGTGCTTTGCAGTTCTCAATCAAGTTAATAAAATTTGTGTTGGAGAGCAAATGTGTTTAGATCTGTGTATGCTACATAAAGATGCATTAAAATACTATTTAAAAACAGTGATGTATGTGGATTTTTAAAAAATACAGAGTAGTATAGAAATAAGGCAGTGTTTTTAATAGGCAAACACACAAAAGTAGCATGAACTGGAAATAATATAATTATCCATTATTCAAGGTCAGGATAAATTGAATTTTGAAGAAAGTGGCACAGGAAGTTGAGATAGACTACTAAGGAGCTTACAGAAGTGGTGTATTGAAATAACAGGAAGGAACCAAAGGATGAACTCTATCAAAGCATGACGTTGAAGTAAAATGAATCAGATTCTTTTAAAAAATAACAAAGAATCTTAGAACAAGACTAAATGTTCCTGTCCCATATACAGTGCCAGCAATTTATTTAGTTATTAAATGTCTGATCCACCCAATAACTGATGGTCTCTAAGATGGATTTTTTTCCAAAATATTTTTTAAGAAAATAAGAACAATAAAATTTGTCATTATTTAGTTTTAAAATGTAATATATGTGTTTTTTAGATTTTTTTATCTTGCCTTTATTATTTTTTTATAAATAACTCAAGGCGGTGACATACCTAATAATCCTTCCTCCTCCTATTTTCCTCACAACAGCAACCCTGTGAGGTGAGTTGGGCTGAGAGAGTGACTGGCCCAAAGTCACCCAGCCAGATTTCATGCCTAAGGCAGGATGAACTCACAGTCTCCTGCTTTCTAGTCTGGTGCCTTAACCAGTAAACCAAACTGGCTCTCAAAAAACAGTTTTGTTGTTTTATTTCTTAAATATTATCCAGCTGCATTTTAATCTGGTTTGGGCCACATTCTGGAGTGTTGTGGCCTTGTGTTTGACACCTCTGATCTACAATACCTCATTTCAGTTGGTAGAGGCTTCTTAAGGAGTGTTTCAAAGAGCCTGGGCAGGTATGTAGTAGAGGAGGAAGTGTTTTTGCGGTACTTTGACCCCAGCCTGTTCAGAGTTTTAAAATCTACACAAAATCTTAAAATGGTGCCCAGAAATGAGTGGGCAACCAGTACAACTGATGAAGCACTAGCCCAAAAGATTATATTGGGCAGTTTAAATTTGGGCGGGGGGGGGATTAATTTTGGATTAACTGAAATTTCTGAACCATCTTCACAGGTAGCCCTACATATTATAAATTGTAGTAATTTAGTTGAAAATTTAGCAGATAAGATAAACTGAGGTATCCTGACCTAGAAACAGTGCAACTGGTATATCAGTATAAGCTGATAAAAAGCGCCCCTAACCATCAGGGCCACATGTGCCTTTAGTGATAATGATGGATCCAGTATTATTTCTAAACTGTCTCATTTTTGGAAGGGAGTGCAGTCCTTTTTGGAACAGGCTGAACATGACCTGGTGTAATAGATGGCATGAGTGGGGAAAATACTGGAATGGAAGTTCAAGGTTGTCAGGAGGGGGGAGAGGCATTCCAGAGCAAGCGCCTCCTCGGCCCGCCGCAAGAGTGTGGGAAGACAAAAAGGATGAGGCTGGCCCCTCCCTAGAGTTTCACGGGGTATATCCACTAGTTGCTTTAACACAGGTTTAGTCTGGCGAGATTCTGTCTATTAGGTGCGAGCTAATAAAGGAACAGAACTGCACTGGATTGCCTCGTTGTTGTTCTTGGGCTGAACCTGACACCTGGACAGGTGGTCCCTTCTCTGCAGTAGTATCTGGATTAAGTTTTAATTAATTCATCCTTATTGACTCAATCTCAAGCACTTTTGGATGAAAAAGAGAGAGAAAACTGGTTGTCATACTACATACTGAGCCCACATTTTGGGATGAACTTCCCTAGCAGTTTTATGTAAACGTTAAATAGCAATGGGAACAATGCTGCGTAGATAATAGTGCAGGTAATCCTCATTTAGTGACTGCCGTTAGGACCAGCAACTCGGTCTTAAAATGAAGTGATCACTAAGTGAAAAATCTTGTGACCGTGACTGTGCTTATGATTTTACTTCAGCTTTCCTTTGCTTTACAGCATCAGAAGGATACAACCCCAAACAGCCAGGTAAGTCCAAATAGGGAAGGTTTCTGGAACTCAACTCATGAGAAAGCTGGGTAAAAGGGCAAATCTTATAGCCCTTTTTCTCTATTTCTCTGCCTTTGGAATGCTCACCTCAGCACTGGGATAATTAGCAGGAACAGAATTAACATTTGTATTTACATACAAATGGAGAGGAAGGGATTACAAGAGAATAAGCAGGCAAACAATGGGGAATATACATTGAAACAAATGCGCTGGCACCGGCTGTTTGCCTAGCATGCTTGCAGCTGCAAGCCTTGAGCTTTTTAGGAGGCAAAAGAAAGCCTTTAGTGTGAAACTGATTAGGGTTTCTGATCAGTTGCAGGCAGCAGCTGCAAGTGAGCCCTGGTTTCTAATCAACTAATTAAGGTCACAGAGCTGAGCTTGTTAACTTGGGGTTAGCACTGTTTAGGGCAGCGCTGTGCTGGGGAGAAAGGCAGCTCAGGAAGGAATAGCTTGTTTAGGCAATCTCTCCATTCTGCAGGGGGAGAGAAAAAAAAAGCCAGGCACAGGACAGTGCATACTAACTGACTGTAATGGAGAACACGGAACAGAGAGAGAGAGAGAGAGAGAGACGCTGTGAACGTCATAAATGCAGGCATTTGTCGCAAAATTACTTTTTCATCACGGTTGTAACTGTGAATAGTCACTGTCCAAGACAATCACTAAATGAGGACTACCTGTATTAGAGGTCTCTAATCATTCCTAGGGGAAGAAAGTCGAAGTGTTTCTGAACATCAAGTAAGAATGGAATAGAATTAACAATGAATGCACAGTATAAAATAGGCAAAGAAGCCAAAGCACCATAGAAGAATTGTACATACCACAAGCATTTGGAGAGGAAGGGAAATATATGCACACATGCGCGCACACTTTTTTTTTTTGGTGCCTTCGAGTCATTGTCGACTCCTGGCAACTGCTTGGACTAGTCCCTGCAGTTTTCTTGGCAATATTTTATACATACACACTTTGAGTGAAGCTTGGAATCACTAAGCATGAAAAAATTGGAGTGTACGTGATGGACATAATTTTGCTAGAATTGTCCATCAGTAGTAGCTTTTTTGAGCTCTTGTAAGTTTATGCTTGTCATCACAGTTGGTATGTGCTAGATACCTTGCCATCTCTTGGTCTTTTTTTCAATTAGCTTTAACTTTTCTGGACATTCGGTGATTTTTGCTTTTGCATTGGGTGTCCAAAATATGTAAAGCGTAGTTTCAATATTAGTGCTTCCAGTGAGTGGGCTATTAGATGAAGTAAGTCTTGCAATTCAGGGTATTACCAACTATTTTCTCTGGCATCACGGTTCAAAGCATACATTTTTCCTTGTTTAGACTTTCTGGTGGTCCAGCTTGCATACATTATAATTGCAAAATTATAATGGCCTTGACAATGCATACCTTTGTTGGTGTGCTGTCTCTGCACTTAATATTTTGTGAAGATCCATGATCCAGGTAGTCCTTGCTTACTGACCATTTGTTCAGCGACTGTTCAAAATTACGAATGCGCTGAAAAAAGTGACTTATGACCCGTACATGAAGTTACAGCCGTTGCAGCGCTGTGGTCACGTGATCAAAATTTGGGTGCTTGGCAGCCCACCCACATGACTGCAGGGGTGTTGCAACTCCCCCCCACCTGCCTATCTCTCCCCCATCTATATCTTTTTGGTCCCCTGCTGCTCTGTGCTCCACTGTCCTTGCTGTCTTCTTGCTCCTGATGCTAACAAGGCATGCCCGGCCTGGTGTCTGGGCTGGGCTGGCTTTGGCTGTGGAACAAGAAAAAAAAATGCTAAAGGCAGCCTCTCAACGGCAGTGTCCTAAAATACCCCTTTTTGCCACGCTCCTGGGTGGGGCTGGAGCTGGCTTCACTTGTGGAAAAAGGAAAAAACAAAACCAAAGCAATCCATTTGCAAAGAGCTCTTGGGCAGGGCTGGAGCTGGCTTCAGGTTCCAAAAAGGAGAGAAATGAAACCCAAAGCAGTTCCTTTGAACAGAACTCTTGGGCGGGGCTGAGCTAGGGGCTGCTTTGGTTTTTTTGGGGGGTGGCAGGGGGCCAAAAAGGCATAGATGGGGGGCAGATAGGTGGGTAGGACTGGGCTGGGGCAGCTGCGGCTTCCCAGGGCATGGCAAGCAGCTCCAAAGCCATGTGGTTTTGGGGCTGGTTACTGCCCCACAAGACAGGGTGCAGGGTAGCCAAAAGGGCAGAGATGGGGGGATATATAGGCAGGTGGGAGTTGGAGGCAGTCCCTTGCCTTGCTGAGGCTTGGAGCTGGGAGCAACGAAGCTCAGAATGGCTTGGCTTGGGGTGGGTCCTTGGCTAACAACCAATGAAATTCACTTAATGACAGCAAGGGGAATTGCCAGGATTGCCACTGCTAAGTGAAGCAATCACATGATGTCTTGCTTAACAACATATCGCTTAGCAACCTAAATTCTGGTCCCAATTGTGGTCGTTAAGTGAGGACTACCTGTGGGGGGGGTTCCCCAAGTAGCAGAGTTTTTTATTTCATAGCTATAGCAATCATCCCAGTGAATTTTTGAGTCTAAGAAAATGAAGTCCATTGCTACTTCTCTGTCTCAGAGTTTCTTCTCTGCCTTTTTGTATTGTCTGTCGTCATAATCTTAGGGTTTTTTTAATATTGAGCAGCAGACCAACATAAGCTGTACCTTCTCTCATTTTCAACATGAGATTCTTTAAGTCCTCCTTGGTTCCAGCCATCAAAGTAGTATCATCAGCTTATCTGATGATTTCCCCAGAATTTTAATTTCTATTTCTTCTAGCCTAGTGTTTCTGCATATAAATTAAATAATTTGAGAATATATAACCTTGGCACACTCCTTTCTCAATTTTGTAGTTGTTCCATATATCAATTATTTTTCCTGACCATCACACAAATTCTTCCATAGACAGATGAGGTTGCCCAAAACATCTATATATTTAAGGGCTATTCATAATTTGTAATCACCTCCAGAGTCAAAAACCATTGACTAATCAATTAAGTAGAAGGAGGCATCATTTTGGATCTCTCTCCCATTGTCTTTTGGATATCATCAGTGAGATATTGCATGCTTCTACCTCTTTTGAATCCAGCTTGTATATCTGGCAGTTTTCATTATGGATTGAAATATGAATCAAGTTTGGATTATGAAGTCTTGAGCATTATCTTACTAGCATCTGAGATAACTGCAATTGCTCAGTTATATGAGCATTCTTTAACACTGCATTTTCTAATACTGGAATTTAAATTGATCTTTTCCAGTGCCCTGACCATTGTTGCATTTTCCATATATACTTAAAAGCACAGATAGCATTTAATTCATTTTTTAAGTTGTTAAAAAGTTTTGGTGCTGTTTGTATTGCTAAATTAAATATTACTCTTTGTCCCTTCTTGCTCTTCCCTCGAATACAGCACTTAGTTGAACAAATTTTCCTTTGTCTTTGTTGCTTTTTTTCTTTTTTAATTATGTCATACTTTTTTAGTCTAGAGTTCTTCAGGCACTCTATTTGTTAAAAAGTAATTAAAAGTTTATGTCTAATTACCATGTAGGTGATAATGAAAATGCTGATTTAAGTGGAATATAGCTTACAATATTACAATATTATTAAGAAATGTATAATTTACATTAATCAATTATTGTGCTAAACAGTTATTAAACATAAGGGTTCTGTGTGCCAAAGGCATATTTAACAGAGGACCATGTATATTAAAGAATTACAAGAATACTCTTGCTAAATACAAGTGAGGGAGAGAATAAGAGAAAGGGAGTTCTAGATCATGAAATCTTAATGCCAGAACCTAACCTTATATATTCCTGTGTAGAAATTGGATCTGAAAATAGATTTTAGAGCTAAGCTAGTGATACTAGAAATTGTAAGCACTTTAAAGTTACTTATTGGCCTAATGTCAGCTCCTTTGCCTGGAAAGAAAGCACAAACATAGCACTTAGCATTTATAGATCGAGTAGTGCTTGGCTTAATTATCCACTCACTTGTTGATAGAATACCAAATAGTGCACATTCAGTGCTCATGGATTTTTTTTAAAAGCATATTTTAGCCACTGTTTTATTATTATTTAAGTTTGATATTAGAACAACTCCATTAACATATACAACCATAGAATCTGTTTAAAGCATTTGAATATCAAACATGTTTTCACAAGTAAATTGCAGTGTTGATTTACTTCATGACTTATTAAGAAATCAGAACAATTTTTGATATCCAGGATTTTGATGTCTAGTACTCATTAAAATTAGCCATTTATTTGGAGATTAAGAGAATTCTCCATTTGTTAACCAAGCTGAGAATTAAAAACTCTGAATATAGTATGTGGAATCTGGTATCTTGTAGCATGAATTATTAGAATGTTAACATTAATGAAATGTTACACTAGAAGTATGATATATGTGATTAAAAGTGTTAATTTTCCTGGTTTTCTTTCTTCCATGATTTCCTTTCTTAGAAAGTAAATCAAAAGGCCTTCAGTGGGTGATAGATACAACTATTGCGTATCCCAAAGCTAAGCCCATAGACATTCAGACATGGATTCTTGGCTACAGGCGGCCAACAATTACTCACGTACATTACAGGTATGAAATGCACTTTCTGTCTTCAATTCATTTTAACAGGCTTGGATTTGAAATTTTCTTAATGAGACATCTTAAAATATATAGTTGGTTAGAAATATGAACAGCTTTACATTTAGTGTTTTCCTTTTTGGACATGTAGTTTTCCATTTGGAAATGCTATAAAGTATGATTTAAATGCTAGTTGCTGTAAGTATGTAGCTAATCAATTAGAGCTGGAGGAAGTTCAAACCAGTGAACTTGAGTGGGAAGCCCCTCCATATATAAACCTATAAATGATTAGGCTGTTGGCATATGTAATAGAAAACAAATTTAAAGCATCTGTGATAAGCTCACAAACACAAAACAAATCTTCACAACAGGTAAATAAGTACAAAACAAAAATAAAACAAAAGGAGGCTCCAAACAGTTTAAAACTGTTGGATTTTTGTTGCATGGAAGGGTTTTTTTTGTTTTTTTTTTACTCTTAGGTATTTTAGTAGGCAATAAAGAGGAAAATCTTATGCTTTGCAGTATATAAGATTGAGGAGGAAGGTTCAGTATATTGGTGACAGAAGGAAGGAATGTATTTTACTTGCTCTTGCTTTTGAGGACTAGTTCTAGCATAAATCCTGTAGTTCTGGCATTGGGCTTACTGCAACAGTACCCCAGTGATGAGCCCTTCTGAGGTAGGAAGTAGAAAGTAAGAATGTGCAGCCATAAGACTGTGCATTAATACATGTAAGAATCCAGATTTGCAGAGCCAGTATGCTCCCAACAAAACCAAACAAAATTCAGAATAAGAGACATTGTATATAATATTGGAATGAGGTAGGGGGCTTTCAGACTGACAGTTTATCAGTTTTCTAATCAAAATAAACTGGGTAGCTATTCCATCATATAGAATAGAAATCTTTATTGTCATTGTACTACTTGTACAACGAAATTAAATGCCACTTTAAAATGCAGCTTTAAAATTATAAAAACAATAGAACACATAAAACACATAACACACATAAAACACATAAAACACAACCTTCACATTCTATCTTGCACAACCCCTGATGCTGCATTAATACTGCACTGTACGATAGAATTCAGTATAGTTACA